ACTTGCTCAGCCCTATATCCTGGATTGTGTTTTGATGTGGCCACTGTCTTGAGGAAGCATCTCTATTTGTTGCATTGTTCTGGACATTCTTTAAAAACGGATCAAATCCTGGCTGGGACGCTGGGTAATAGACTTAATGCTGTTCCACAAGTGGCATGAAATCAACAGCATGAATCTGTGACACTGTGGCTTATCCATCACATTGGCAAAGTTGAACGTTTTTTTTGGACTTTTTGTAGTCTTTTTCGCTCTTGCATGGTGTGTAAAGTGGCCTGCCCTCAGAGTGGCCCCTGCCAAAGTGCCTATTTTTATTTACACCATCAGTAAAACAGATGTGGAAATGGATTTTTATGTTTTGAGTTGGTGGGCAAAGCGGGTTGTTTCCTTGGAAAAATAGCAAGTCAGTAAAATGCAATAAAAACATGGGATATTTAGAAGATGTTAGAACCAAATGCAAGTCTTTGTGGAAGACTTGGTGGAAGTTACAGTCTTACCTTCTGATCAGGTGGGTGGGTCACATCACAGATTCTCATTAAAATTGGATTAGTTCCAGGCTAGTTCACTGTGTTTTCATATTAAGTGACTGAGTTGTTACTTGTACATACATGTACAACTCAAGTACTTTAATTGATGGGTCACACCTCTTGCAGGATTCAGCATAGAATGCATAATTTCGGGGAATTTTTTTTAAATACCTCCTAAGAAATGAAAATACACATTGCTTTACTTTACCCCTTGCCAACATGTATATTATTCCAGTTCTTGTATGCCTGCAAAACAGCAAAATTTGTTTTTATGAACAAGATCAAGCGCTTGTGTTGTATGTGTGTGGTAACATTCAGAGCTCAAGTCTGCTTACTTAAAGTTTGAAATGAATTAAAGAAACAATAACAGAAACAAATCCTTTGCTAAAAGTGTCAAATCTACTGGAACAGCTAGAGTTTGCAGAACTTTCTGTTGTGATCTATGGATTAAGGCCTGTGGAACCAAACAACAGTAGTATAACACCAATGATTTGATGATTAGATTTTGTTGACGTGCACAAAGAAATGCCATTGCACAATGTTTGGACTTGGAGACTGATGTTTTTTTAAACTTCAAATGGATGGTTTCTTAACGTGCACCTAGATTCTGCCAAGAGAGTTAGGGATGAGGCACAAAATGCTCACCAGAAATTCTGGTGCTTAGTGAACATTTTTGCGAAAACAGCCATTTGCTACAGTGACTCCTTCCCTTACATTTATACATGTATGCAGACTTCTTGTAGAGAGGTTGTACATGCAGCCTGTTCCTTGCTCTGTGATGATGTGCAGCAATGGTGTATTAGCAAAGATTGCTTTGCAAAGTGGACAGTCCAATTTCCTGTCAGACTTTTTCCTAGCTTGCTGAAAAAGTCCTCCATAGGATCAGCACTGTCAGACATTTGTTTCCATGCTGTGCTTTCCACCTACCGATACTCACAGTACAGTCAGACAGAAGTGCCAGAAAAATCCCAATCATGCCGGGGTCGTTGGATGAATGGAATTCTGTGCGGCGGCCAGGTTCAAAGACATCCTGCTGGGGGCTCCCACTGGTCTCACTGTCCCATGAGGTTTACTCACGAAATTGAGCAGACACTCCACGGGAACAATTGTATTGTTGTCCGAATGATTTCCCTGCAGTCTTGTTATTGATATAATGTTCCCTGGAAACAACGTGGTTTTTATGAGGGTGTCACTGTTACAATGGTAGGTCGGTGGGTTTGTTGAGTGTTGCAAGATGTGCAAGCGTCATGATGGATGGCCTTTTGTAACGCTGTCAAACCCTTAGCTTTTACCAGGTACTGCCTCATGCGGGGACTCTCCCGTGTGAGCATTGCAAGCTGGAGTAGTTCTTCAATTTGAACACCTTACCTGTCCGCCCCCTTTAAGTGATCTATTTGCACCTTTACAGTGAAAACATAGTTTGGACATGTCGTTCATCCAGTTGTCACCCTTGATAAATGCACGGAACACAATTCACAACATTCATGCAGCATGTGTTTCAGAATCCTTGTCTTTGGCAATCCGCTTGGTTGAAGAATCTTTGCCCCCAGGGTCAAACCAAACACATGTATGTTACACATTTGAAGGGGACAATTTTTTGTCTCTCTTGTAACTTGAGCTGCGTCTTCAGTAATGTTTGAAATGTGAACCAGAAGGAGAAACGCAGGTGCTACATGTGCACATGTATTTCATTTCTCATATCTCCAGCAGTGCCACCATTCCAATTGTATGCATATAACTTTGAAGTCAACTAGAAAGTTGGAGGCCCTAAAGTTTAGTTTGTAGTAATGAACAAAGCACCAGCAGGTATGAACACATACAAGAGGCATTACTGTTATTTAATATTGCAGATGAAATGTGTATATTGCTTTTACATGAAAGTTTTTTTACCCTTCATTTTTTGAGGAACAACCAGAGAACTTTGGCTCCTACATGTTCCAGTTCTTCCCTGCAGAATCTGTTCACTGGGTCAGATGCTACCCTCCATTAAAGCGTTCTGTCCTTGCTATGGTCCAGTTTTGGCCTGTAATTGCCCCATTAGCTTTGTGTGCTGTTGGGGCAGTCCGCTATTGATGTATTTGACTATCTTTGAACTGTTTTCCCGTGGGTGTTCTTTTTTCTTTGTCAACGAAGGCCCCCTGCCAAGTAATTTTTCGGGTTTATTGTCCAAGTTTGAAGGCAATCAACATATTACTCACATAGGAAGCCATAAACTTCTTGTTCTCCAGCCAACATTTGGTCTGTGTTTTTAATTGCTTTTATATATTTTGTGGCATTGCCAAAGGCCACATGCATAGACTTTGTCAGAAGAGGAGTGGTGGGGGGTGTGAGGCTGTAAACCTTAATTAAATTGTTTTTTATTTGTTCAGTTGATTGATTGAAAGTTGAGAATCAGATATATGTTTGCTCTACAGGGGTTCATTTCCTGTGTGCGTCTCAATGTTGGGCCACGTTGCTGGCTTGAAGAACAATAACATTTTAAAGCACAGATTTGCTTCATGTCTTGAGGGAAACTCTCTGTGAATAACAGTCACTTAAGTCTGTGTGGTTCAGCTCTGGGAAATGATTTGTGCATGTACTTTAAGTTGTTTTCTGTTCATCCACTTTTTTCTTTTTCTCTTTCAATATGGCAGTTGATGCTAGCCGTAAATCACAGTCATTCAGAGAAGAAGAGCGAAATTTGGCCATCAACTTTAAGTCTAATATTTTTTCAGGATCATCAAATGTCAGGCTATGTTACAGATGTCGCTAGGAATAGTCTGAGATGTGGACTACATGTATGTTGTTTTCCAGAGGCCTTACCATACATGTGTACCAACCTGCTTTGATGTAACTGTGAGCAACAATGTACAGAGCTTTTATGTATGGTGTGTGTTTTTCCCTGAAATATTGATCTCTCTGATGAGGAGGGTTGTATCACAGACTTTCCTTTTGAAGTAACAATTTACCCACAGTAATTGAAAGGGTCGGAAGAGCAAAGCATACTTTTGATGTGAAGACCAAAACCGGCACGTGCCAATCAATATTACTCAATTTCTAATTTCCGCTATTTTGTAACTGTTTTTCCCTTCTCCTCCTGGCCATTATCTGGGCTA